ATAAGTTATCCGAACAACCCCATTCCCCAATTGATTCGGATAAATGATGCTCTACTGTATATTATTCTAATAAATTATGTTTTAATATAGGGATTTGTTTAAAGTTATTGTTAATAATGTTTAATTGCTTGGTGGAAATTGTAATAAAGAAATAAATAACCCTGAAATTGTAAGAACTTTATATTATTGTTGGTAAATTTTAAAAATTATGTTGGGAAATTTAAAAAAATGTATAAAAAATTTTGTTGTTTTTAATTTTATGTAGAATGTGTCATATAAATACCTGCTGATGAGGGACAAATGGGTCTGAAATGCAATATTAACATGTGTGTGTTCAGGTAAATTAAATAAAACAATTTTCTAATCTGTGAAACTGAGTTGCAGTATCCTTAAAGCCAGTTTAATAAGTCCTGTTAATAGATTGTACTAGTGGACAAAATAATAATTTATTATACACTGTATTGTTAAATCTGTTGCAGACCTTGGGAGGAGGTTGAAAATGTTCATATTTTGTTGAAATATTATGTTACTGGAAAGATGTTAGTCTATTTAGTACAATATTTTAAAATACCTACTTTATAATAAGAAATTGTTGTATAAAGTGAGATTTGCTTAACTCTGACAAGGTATAAATATAGCTTTGTAAATCAAAATCGGTTCTTGAAATTCAAAATCACAATGTGATAGGATCTTTTTATCACTTTTAAAATTGTCAGGATTAGGATGAACTTGGTTTAAATTATGGAACTAAACACCACTTGTGTCGGAATTGGAGCTGGTCAGTCAAATTTTATTCTGTAAAGTAGTGATTTATTCACTAATTTAGAGAATAAAATTGGACCATCTAAAATCGGCTGATTTGACTTATCTGTCAGTTTATCCTGAGATTTATACTCACACAGTGCGTTGAGAGTAATTATACAGATTAAAGTGCATTTAATCTCTAGATTAAAACTCGTGGAACTGGTCCTTAGTTTTTTTTTTCTAACATACGTGAGAAAATTAAATCAACTACTTTTGATTACAATTTTTCTGAAAATTAGTCCATATTTTTAAATATTTCAGAAATTCCTGCAGTATCAAGGATTCCCAATGAAGACATCAATTGATATGCTGATAAAACTAAAACATCGTTTTTAGTTGCTGTGCTGATTTTCAGAAATCAGCACAGTGACTACCACTGCTGCCGATTTAACGGTAAGTGGAGTCTATTTGAAATTCTATTTGATATACAGTAAACTCCTGATTATCTGGGCTAATGGTGGGGAGAGGTGGCACAGATAATTCAAACTATAATTATTTATTTCTAAAATACAACATGTAGATTCAATGTAGATTCACCTTTTTCAAATTTTTCAATTAACATTGTTTTTGTTTTATACTAAGTATGCCTTTATATTGATTATTAGGAATTTTAAGGGTACTTATCTGAAAACTGAAAAATCATCTTATTTTATTTAATTTTACACAGTGTTTGTGAGCGAGTTATTTGAAAAAAATATTATGTATAATATGTATTATACATACATACATATAATCAAATCTTAAATTGTAATACATATTGTAACATGCAACTAAACGAAACTTTGTATAAATGTACTCACCATCGCTTTCTCTTCTGAAAAGAAACGTCTGGCGCGAAAGAAGCAGCCTAACTAAAACCAGTCCAGCTGACTTCAGATACCCCCATCACTCACTTCAAACATCTAAATACGAACATGTGCGCACTTATAAGATGCGTAAACATGAAAGCGAGCAACTATTTAAAAAATACATACATACGTAATTATTTTTTAAAAATTAAATTCATGCACGGATAATCTGCAAACTGGATAATCCTCGCACGGATAATCGGGAGTTTACATTTGCCATGAAAATATCTTTGTTAGGACATAGATATATACATTTGTCTTGTAACGACAACATTTTACATTGTCAAATGTTGTTAGTACAGAACACATTTTTGTTAAGTAACACGAAACATCATAATATGAAGTAACTGTTTCTTGACTGCATGGTCAATTATTATTTTCACATTGTGTGTCAGTGTGATTAATTTGCACAATCCTGTTTCTTATTTAAAGTGAATTATTTTAACCAAAAAAGAGAGGCTCTGATTTTTTTTACTTTGGTGAGAGAGTGGTGGAAACAAGTTCTGAGCAGAAATACGTGAAATTAAGATAGTTTTGTTATGTTTGACATTCTTGTGATTTTGAATTGATTGATGACTAAAATATTTATGCCAAAATTCTGATTGTTGATAGCTGATTTTATGAAAACTGAAAGGGCATAAAAAAAAGATTTATGGAATATATTTTTGCAGAACACAATTTACATATGGAATTTTCCTGCAAATTGTTGCTTTCTGGCATACAAAATAAGAATTTATGATCGAAGCACAGCCCAAAAAGTAGTAAGTCTCCCACATCTGGTGGCCTAGGGCCATGGTGTGCAAACTTTTTTCGACTGCGACCCCTTTTGTAGAGAGAGAATTTTTGGCGACCCCCTAGAGATAAATGTTCACAAATACGATGTATATTTCGCGCATTTTTTTCGTTTCATCGAATAAAAACATCATCATATCTGACTCATATTAATTTTATTTATAATTTTAAGAAAATACTTTTTGTATAACATAAAAATCAATAAATTGCCCTTTAATGAGATGTATGTGGCTGCAAGTATCTAATTATCTCATCGATGTTTGGATGTATGTTGCTAATTGCAATTCGCATATCATCTTCAGGGTTTAAACGCGAGCGGTATTTAGTTTTTATTGAAACTAGTTTGCTAAATCCAGTTTCACATAAATACGTTGATGCAAATTGTATTAAAACCCTGATGGCATTCTTGCATAAAACGGGATATTGTTTTTCCACGGATAGCCAAAATTTTTGGCAAGGCTGAGTCTTAAATTGATTTCGAAGAGTATAATCACTAATTAAATCTATCAATTGCTCTTTCTCACTAATTTGAAGAGTTGAACTGCATATGTCGTAGGAAAATGGATCACGAATCCAACCAAGATCGTTTTCAGGAAAATCCTTGAATCTTCTGCATGAAATTGCAATTAAACAGTGAGTGACGGCGCTTCACTCTTTATATGTACACTGTATGGTATGCAGCATGCAGGCATAATGCATTTCATAAATATTTGGCGACCCCAAAAAACTTCTGGCGACCCCCA